AAGGGATAGACTGGGATTTCAAAATTGTAGAATAGATAAACAAGATTACACTGTGTAGCACAGGGAAATATACACAAAATGTTATGATAAATCACAAGAGAAAAAAATGTGACAATGAGTGTGTATATGTCCATGAATGACTGAAAAATTGTGCTGAACACTGGAATTTGACACAACACTGTAAAATGATTATGAATCAATAAAAAATGTAAAAAAAAAAAAAAGAAAGAAAAGATGTCCCACATCATATGTCATCAGGAAAATGCAAATTACAACAGTGAGATGTCACCACACACCTAGGATAACGGCCCAAATCCAGAACACTGACAACACCAAACGCGGCTGAGAATGTGGAGCAACAGGATGGGAATGCAAAATGGTACAGCCACTTTGGAAGATAATTTGAAGGTTTCTTATAAAATTAACATAATCTTACCATACAATCCAGCAGTTGAAGTCCCTGGTACTTATCTAAAGGAGTTCAAAACTTATGTCCACATAAAAACCTTCATCACGTTTACAGCACCTTTGTTCATAACTATAAAACTACAGAAGCAACCAAGATGTCCTTTAGTAAGTGAATGGATAAATTCTGGAACATCCGAAAGTGGAATATCATTCATCACTAAAAAGAAATGAGCTATTAAACCATGAAAAGCCATCGGGGGGACCTAAAGTGCATGTCACTGAATGAAACAAGGCTATCTGAAAAGGCTGTGTGCTGTATGATTCTACATTCAGAACCATGTAACAGTCTGGAAAAGGTAAAGTTGTGGAGGCAGTAAAAAGCTCAGTGGTTGCCAGGGCTTGGGCTGGGGAGGGAAAAGGGAGGACACAGAGGATATTTAGGGCAGTAAAAATACTCTGACACCATAATGATGGCTACATGTCATTCCATGTTTGTCCAAACCTACACAATGTACACCACCAAAGGTGAACTTAAGGTAAACTATGACTCTGGGTGATTATGCTGTATCACGGCAGGTTCACCGGTGGTAACAAATGTCCCGCTCTGGTGAGGGATGCTGATGACGCAGGAGGCTCTGCATGTGGAGGGGGAGGGGGTATATGGGAAGTCTCTGTAGCTCCTTCTCCTCAGCTTTGTTGTGAACCTAAGACTGCTTTGGAAAAAAGTGTTAAAGAAAAAGCTCTTTGAAAGAGAAATGGATGGATTTCACACTACCAACCCTACTCAGAATTCTTCAGTGGTTCCCCAGGTGCTCTGAGAACAATCGAATACCTTTCTGTGGCCTACAAGGCCTGTGTGCTCTGACCCCTTCCTGCCCCACCATCACATCTCTACCTCTCTTGTCATCCAAGGTCTAGCTCCACTGACCCACTGTCCCTCCTGGGGCTTCACAGCCGACTCTTCCCTCTGCTCCCTACCATCTTCCACCTCACCCCACACACCTGGCTTCAGGATGGCCTCCCTCACAGATCACTCACAGGGTCCATAAGTTCCCCCTTCCCTCCAACACATCATCTTGCTTATGTCCTTCATAATTCTCATCACAAGCTGTAACTACTTTATTTGATAAACAGTTCAATGATCATCTCTCTCATAAGAATATAAACAACACAAATTCTCTCTTGTTTACCAGTGAAAGGCCTAGCACCTAACAATATGTTTGGCACAAGGGAGAAGTTCAATAAAGATTTGTTGAACGAATAAATAAAACGTTAACTTCAGTTGTTACTGCAAAAGAATATTCTCAATCCAATCTTTAAAATCAATAGTGCTTCTCTGGCTATGAGTATTTCCATTAAAAATATAAAACATCACAACATCTTTCCTCGAGTCAGGACAAATCCCTCCCCTACTGGTACCACAACCCCGTACGTCTGGAAGGTGACAGTGATCTTCATGCTGACTGCTGGCACCCAGATGCCTGATGCGCAGTTTTTCAAAACTGAACCTAGGACTGATAATACACAGTCTGAACTCCCCACCGAGTACAATGACCCTAAGCCTTCGGAGCCCCCAGACAACTCTAACGCCTTAAGGGTTCTCTCCAAAATCTCTAGGAAGCGATAACTAGTATCCCTGTTGTTGAATCTATTTTTAAAGTCTGGCCACAACATCTATGGTTTTTAAGTGTTAAAATCTTACAGCGGAACATAATGAGATTGAGGTATTTCTCTTCCTGATGAAATTCTGCCACCTCCCGGACCCCAAGCCTGCTGGCGAGCCGGTGCTCCCAGACTGTAAAGCCTGACGACAGCCTGAAAGCTGAACCTTCCCGCCAGCAGCCTCACCTCAGGCCACTCCTTCTTCCACGTACTCCCCGCTGCAGTCACGGCGTGCTCTGCACCACTTCCCTGCACGTTCCACCAACTGTGTGTCTCTGCAAAGTCCCGTTTCTTCTTTCCCC